CTCGGCTTGCGACGCGACGCGAGTTGCCTGCGACTGAGTGTCGTGCAACTGTTGCAAAGTCGCATAGAGCCGAGAGACAAAGTGTCGAGCATAAGCGACCCCTGCGACTGCCAGCGAGGGTCTGCCCGACTTGCTTGGCGACTGAAAATTGTCGGGTCGCAACGCGCGAGCTCGCGTGAGGTCGCACATGCTTTTACTCTGAACTATGTTCGTCTGACGCCGATCTGCGGGTGCGACCGGTCGCAGCAGTTGTTTTTCATGGTTACTCGGCGACAATAAGCTGGCCTTGCGATCGCTTGTGACGAGATTCGAATGGCTACATAAACCAATGCAGCGTGATAAACATCAGTGCATACAGTTATGTACACAACATGCACACGAGCAACAAATCATGTAAAACGTCATTTAGTTGCGCTGATCAAGTTAGGCGCATCCGTCACTCTCTACTGGCTGCGAGCTGGTTGCAGCAGGAGCATCGCGTCAGTCACGTCGACGAGATCGACCTAAGCCACTTTTGGCAGTCGCAAGTATTGCAGTGGCGTCGCGCTCGCGAAGCTATTACGCAGACCCGGGACAGAAAGCCGGCTGTTAGAGACCACATGAGAAAAAGATGACCATGATATTCACTATCACAGAATTTTATATATTCTGTACACAATGCAATCTTACCAATCGGCCCGTTTTACAGGGGTTTGCTGGGCCGGTTTATCAAGGCTAGAGTAGTTGGATGTAGGAGTGTCGATAGATCTGCACATGCGCGGTTCGTAAGAGAGGAGTGGTGGTGTGTGAGGGGTGAGGATGGGTTTGGCGCGTGTGTGGCTGATCGGTGCTCTGACTGTCGGTGAAATTGTAACGTAGAGCGTTAGGTTTAGGTAAGTTACTTGTATGTCATATTTAGATTAGTCTAGACACTTTCGTCTAAGAGTAAACTGGAAAATTGCGTGAGTTATCGATTACTTCTGTTAATTAATAAGCGTAAGAAATGCACAATCACAATCTCGCAGATGCCGTGCAGTCTGCACCGATCGGTAGAGTTGACCACCGTGCGCGGATCTTAAGAGATGTGCGCGCGCGGCATCTTAGATGCATGTAATCGGAGATGTCGCGCGCACACACTTTGCTTTCACA